TATCATCTCAGTGTCAGTACGGCCAAAGAACTGCGCGTTGTAGGTCGACGTCGCCGAGTAGTGTCCATCAATGGTGAACTTCCAAGTGATAGTGTCGGGCATGTTGATGTCGAGGTGGATATGGGAGACCTTCTCCCAAGGGGTGACAAATTCAGAGAGGTGTTCGACAGTGATGCCGCGAAGGATGTCCACCTGGGAAGTCCAAAAGTTGTCGTGCAGAGCCATTAGAACTGAGCAATTCTTCTTCTTCGACAATTCATATATTTTAGGGGCCATGTCTTTGGGCCCAATCCCTTCTAGCCAAGGAGACTCCCAAAACTTGGCATGCAAGCCATTGCCAACTTCAACCTTGGTAGCTCCAGCAAAAATATTTCGGTCGGTGTCATCACAAGGGGTTCCCAAGCCAACCCATGGCTTGTCCGGGTGGAGCCACTCGGCCCATAGCCACCGGAGACGAAGGGCGATGGCAACCTTGTCATGATTTAGGATTCCCAGGCCTCCATGCAGTTTGGACTTGCGCACTTGTTCCCAGTTTATCTTGCATTTTCCACCTGTGACTTTATCACAACCTACCCAAAGGAAAGCACATCTGAGGGCATCAATCTTCTTCTTGACCTCCAACGGTAAATCTAGCACCATCATATAGTAGACAACAATCGCCGTGAGGAAAACCTACTTGACCAAGACCGCCTGACCTGCCGAGGCAATGTGCCTTCCCACCCAAGGGGTGAGCTGACCCGCAATCTTGTCCTCGAGGGGCTGGTAGTGAATTCTCTTCAACCTCTTGACTGATAAAGGCAACCCAAGGTATTTCATCGGGGAGGAGGAAAGCTTGGCCAGGAAGGTTTGGAGGATGTCCGGAAGATCAACATTTTCACAACGGATTGGGGTGACAAGACTTTTCGAACAATTTGTGACAAGGCCAGTGACATCCCCAAAGTGCTTGAGAGTGTCAGTGAAAAACTGGACGTCATATGAAATGGTTGAAAGTGAAAGAAGTGGGCAGAAAGGAAGGTTATGGCTTGAAGAATTTCCATGATCTAATCTAGAAATGGTTAGTGCATTTTGACAAGATTCATGGATTTACAAGAGGATAAAAAGGAAAGAAACGTTGAAAATAAAATAAAATAAAATAAGAAGAGGAGAAAAAGAAAAGGAACATCGAAAATAAAGGCAACCCAAGGTATTTCATCGGAAAGGAGGAAAGCTTGGCCGGGAAGGATTGGAGGATGTCCGGAAGATCAACATTTTCGCAACAGTTTGGGGCGACAAGACTTTTGGAACAATTTGTGACTAGGACAGTGACATCCCCCAAAGTGCTTGAGAGTGTCAGTGAAAAACTAGACGTCATATGAAATAGTTGAAAGTGAAGTTATGGTTTGAAGAATTTCCATGATCTAATCTAGAAATGGTTAGTGCATTTTTACAAGATTCATGGATTTACAAGAGGAGAAAAGAGAAAAGGAACGTTGAAAATAAAACAAAATAAAAGGAGGAGAAAAAGAAAAGGAGCGTTGAAAATAAAACAAAATAAAAGGAGGAGAAAAAGGAAAGGAGCGTTGAAAATAAAACAAAATAAAAAGAGGAGAAAAAGAAAAGGAACGTTGAAAATAAAACGAACAAAAAGGTATGACAGCTGTGGGGTTTGAACCCACGCCCTTTCGGACCAGAGCCTAAATCTGGCGCCTTAGACCACTCGGCCAAACTGTCTTTGGTGACAATATGTCTGTATTGGCCTATATATTGTCGGCAACCATAACTCGTAGTGTTAAATGTACACTTTTCCAGGTGAAAACGCAGTCTTGCTTCCAGAGTTCCAGCATGTAGATATTTTGGCCTATCCATGGTTCATATGCTAACAGGCAACTTCTCAAAGTAGTGGTCATGTATGTGTATTACTCCCTCTTTTCTTCTTAATGAATGCAAAGAATCTGCCATTTCGAAAGAAATGTTGGAACGCTTATTTTGGAACGGAGGGACCTCCGAATAATTGATAACCAATTAGAAACTATACAATGCGATGTGCAGCATCACCATATCAAACACGAGTCGTCTGATTTAGGCTCTCTCAGATCCACCACAACCCAACCGAAATATGCTATCTAGAGAGATCACACACAAACAACAATAAAAAGAAGCTCTCCAAATATCACACCAAAGAATGTTCTCTAAAGATCACACACACACAAACAAAAAATTGGGGCACACATAACTGAGCAACTTTAGCTTCAGGTCCAACATCTAAACAAAATCTTGTCACTTCATTCCATCCAATAGCTCATACCATTCTCCAAGTGCAGATTCTGGATGCACAAGTGGCAAACCAACCATAGAAAGACTGCCTCGCGTCCATCGACGGCGCCAGATCATATGCTTTACACGACCGGTTCAGCACGGATTACCAACTAGATTACCAAATCTCGGGTACGCGTATACGTAAATACAGTAGTCAAGCGCGCTTCTTTGTACACAGTTTCACGTTAGCTCCCTCCCGCCAAGGGATTTCTTTTCCACATCCTAACAGGCGTTCTTCTCTCGGGCACTCCTTGTGGTCTTGTGTGAGCCTTTACCACTCCTCGTCCAGGGTAGCCCTGTGGAAGCACAGCACCGTGCACACGAGGATGAAGAAGGACGTGAACTCGATGAACATGGCCCCCGTCTCGATCAGGCCAGCATGCCTCAGGATCGCCGGGATTGCGAGGCTTCCCATGGCAGACATGCCGGTCAGGAACTTGGCTGCTTTCATCCACCTGAAAAACGATATGCCCTGTCTGATTACAATCTTTATGGTAGCGAATGTGTGGATCAGCATCCTAAGTTGTGATTGCCTATTGCCTATCATGTGCTCTGTGCCGATATACATGTTCACATTACTACTTCTCCAAAGGAAAGAGAATCATCAAGTTAGAACTTACGCTCCACCCTCTCCGCTACTCAAGAACCGTGTGGATCCGTCGCCAAAGAACAGGCATGGCATTGGCACAATGATATACATGAGTGCTGCAGAACAGAAAAAGCACGCACAAGAACGTCAGTGGAAAAGTCACAGGGACTTGCTCACGGTGATTGAGGATAAGAAACTAGCAGTCACCTGCTAACATAGGCCACCAGTTGTTGTACAAAGCACATGCCTGCACCAAGAAAATGAAGAGTCAGAGAATTCAGAAGTAACAACTTGGTCAAATAACAAGGGATGGCAATCTGATGCTGCTCAATAACCTCCATATAAAATAATTACTACAGTAGGCGTGCATGTCGATACAATCAGACCAATCTTTGTGTGCATCGACTCCTATAACTGAATAACAAGAGTAACCCTGAAGTGACCAGCAACCATGTCACAATATTACTCTTTCGTACATTCCTTGCCTCTTTGGCACAATCACACAATAGAATACTGGGCATGAATGAATTGCAGAAACAAAACTTGAAATCAATCTGTCAGGTTGTCCTCAAAGTTACTGAAACTGACAGTGAGTAAAACAATTGCTGCCACTGTACCATCTTTCAGAAACCTGATTCGGTGAGCTCTAGGCATGGATGTACATATAGCTTACCAGGATTTGCAAAAGAACGCTGGTGGAGAACATACACGCAAGTCCAGCGAGCCTGTAACAGAAAATTATAATAAGATGACACACTTGTCAAACGCAAAACAATGGTTAAGAGCCATCAGAATGATGAACTTACACTGCAAAGACGCACGCCAAGAGTAAGTTGACAGAATCATCCAGCAGCAGCAAGGACGAAAGCAAAGCAGACGAGGAACACACAAGTTAGTCAAACACTTGAAGCAATTAGCAGGATACAAGAAAGATAGATATTATCAAGAACTGCTCAGAGTGCAAGAACGTAATATAGATGCTGAAACTGGACTGTACTACCAGAGGGTAACTGCTCATTACATAGCCTTAATTCATGAAAATGGGGGTAAGCCAAACCGTGTTTCATATTTAATGGAACCCCTTTATTCCTATGTTAATGTTTGCTCATTACACATAAGGCAGACACAAGACCGAACGGATATATCAGTTGAGCCAGGAATTTCCCACGACGCAAAACCACAGAGCTCTAGCCTGAACTGATAGCAGGTATGAAACTCCAGGCCATGCTGCTATAATGGTATAACCCACACTCGCGTACATCCTGCCACTACTCGCATGCTGAATCGTCGGAATCTGCGCCATCTTGATCAGAGCCCCGTACCGAGGCGAACGGCTAATGAACGGTCCATACACCAGAGGCAAAATCCCCAGCTACCGCCCCGTCTGTAGCCCATTGATAAGATGCAAGCGAACTGGACGCGTCACGGTTGACCCCTGCTCCACGCAAATCTAGGCCCCTGGCAGCACAGCCGACGACCCCTTTCTCCTGAGGAAAGCGCACTGATCTGACTGAGCAAAATCACGCTCCCCTACAGATTACCAATCGCCGGCAGCCTCGCCCACGCTACCTACGTGTACAGAGCACCCGGACCAGCGCCGCACCGGAGCTCCGACCAACCGGATCTCCCCGCGCCCTGGCTCGCCAATTCGCGACCCCACGCCCACACCACGAACCCTAGCCGCCCGATCCCCGCGCCGCAGCAAATCCCGAATGCGAGGGCAACCCGATCAGCCAGGCAACAGGAGTTGGGTAAGGGCAAGAAGAGGGATCCTCACCTTCCACGGTCATCGCCATCTCCGGCGGGCGGCGGGCGGAGCGGGTCTTCCCGGCGGTCTGTCGTCTCCTCCTGCTTTCCTCTCCTCTCCGACTCCAATAAACTCCTCTGACCGACCGACCGACCGAGCGAGCCCAAGGAAACAACCGAGACGCGCCTGGCAGGTGGGCCCGGTCGGGTTGGTGGGGCGGGCCCGCATGTAAGCAGGGCCCGAAAGCCTTGGTGGGCTTTGTGGGGTTGTGGCGCTAGGGCAAAAGATCTCGGGGTTTCTTTGTTTGGGCTTTTGGAGTAGGAGCGGCGGCGGCGGCGGCGGCGGCGGAGAGAGAGGAGGCCAGCAGCCATGGTGCGGCTGACGCTGGAGCAGACGGCGAGGGAGGCGGCGCCGGCCGGCTGCCTCGCCACGTTCCTCGACCTCTCCCACCGCTCCTTCACCGACGTAAGTCCCTCCCTCTCGCCCGCCGCCTCGGCTCGCCGGCTTTGCTCATCTCTCTCTGTCGTCGTTGCTGATAGGTGTCGTGCCTGGGGAGCTTCAAGAACCTGGAGCGCCTCGACCTCGGCCACAACTGCCTCCTCACGCTCGAGGTACCGCCAACCGCAACCCCAACCACATCCTCCGCACGCCCAATCTCAAATGCCACGCACTGGGTCCAAACATATTCTTGATGTGGATTGCTGGATAGAAACAGATAGATAATTATTCTTCCCGGCATTCCACCTCTTTGGGTTGGATATATGCAAGTACCTATGCCGCCGCCGTTGTCGACTTGTTCTAGCTCTTGTTGTCGGAAGAAATGCATCCGTGCTGCCACCATTCTCGTCTGAATTTACTTTCGCGACCAACAATGGTAGATAACAGGGAAGCAACTGTAGGTGTAAAATGATGCTACAGCGCGCTAATTCGAAGATGCGCTCAGATTAGGATTTACCAACTTGTTGTGGCTTATGGATGATGATGATAGGTGATAGCTGCTCTGCTTGTTCCATGGGACTGTAAACTCTACTTGCTGTTATCTTCATTTGAGCCTCTGAGTGTCTTCTTATTGTCACTTATGTCCATGCTTTTTTACATGTTGAAGGGTTTGTCCGCGTGCACCAATCTCAAATGGCTCTCGGTTATCGAAAACAAGCTCGTGAGCTTGAAAGGTGCCGAGGTCCTCTCGAAGCTGCAGGTGAGAAGCTTTCCTGGCCCTGCATTTCCATCTGATTGAACCCATCCAGGATTTAATTCTAGCTCACTACTTTTTTAGGGGAGAATTTAGCTCATTGCTTGAATCATAAATTCATAATACAGCGTTTTTCTTATCCTGGCTTGTGCAGGTACTGAATGCTGGCAAAAATAAATTGACAAGAATCGATGAGGTCAAATCTATGACAAGCCTGGGAGCCTTGATTCTCAACGGTAATGTGGTTTATGAATGCTATACACTCTCTACTACTCTTCTTTCCCTGTTGTTAGCTTACTTAAATTTACTCATGTCGGATCTTGGTAATTTTTCGTGCAGATAACAACATTACTTCCATCTGCAAGCTTGATCCCCATCATCAGTTGAATACTCTTGGTATGCATTTTGATATGGCACTTATTTATTACTCCCTCTGTCCCATAATATAAGAACGTTTTTGACACTATGCTAATGTTAAAAACGTTCTTATATTTTGGGACGGAGAGAGCACTACCTCTGTTCCTAAATATAAGACGTTTTTGCAGAACATCTATATTTAGGAACAGGGGTAGTACAATGGACTGCAGGACCATGTCCCTTCACTCTCTTGAAGCACACTGCATACATTCAATGTTTTTTTTTCATGCACGATGTAATCTTACTTCACAGTTCTCGCTGATAATATGAAGAAATCAAACAGTTCTGCTGTTGTAAAGAAGAGTATCTTTTATACACTAGAAGTACAGAATACCAACCTTGTCAAATGCAATATAAGTGAACTTGTTAATTGTAATTCATGCTTTTCTGTCTCCGTGAACTTGTTACTTGTTATTCATGCTTCTGTCTCCCTGAACTTAGTTAATTGTGAATGTTTGCTCTGCCACAGTTCTCTCTAAGAATCCAGTTATTACTTTTGGTGATGCTTTGGTCAATGCAAAGTCTATCAAAAAGGTACTTGTTCTTTATTTAATCTACAAAAAAGAATCTTCTGGTGACTGACTCTGTTATGTAGCATTTCTAATTGTTTTCACTATTGTCTTATTGTTACAACCCCCGCCAGATATCCATGTCTCACTGTGAAATAGAAAGCATTGGATCTTCCCTTGCTGCATGTGTGGAACTGAAGGAACTTCGGCTTGCTCACAATAAGATCACTGTATGTACATGGAGGGCAATTTTATTTACTTGTCTCCTGCACATTAATTGCTATTGTTACTTGTTAACATGGCCTTATCCACCTCTGACTTGCAGACGATTCCATCAGACTTGGCCAAAAATACCAAAATCTTGAACCTTGACTTGGGAAATAACTTGATTGAGAGGGAGTCAGATCTGAAGGTTTGCATCTGACTTCGTCCCCACATGTTTAACACCATAGTTTGTGTAGATTGTTTTAACCGTTGGTTTGGTTGCTAGGTCCTTTCTGAACTGCGCTACTTGAGGAACCTAAATTTGCAGGGAAATCCTATTGCTGAGAAAGGCACCCTAGCTAAAAAGGTGACCTCTCTCTCCGACTTCTCTTTGTTCCAGAGTGTATTGTAATTGTAGTTCCTGAGTAACTTATAAATGTTCTCTCAGGTCATGAAAATTGTGCCGAACTTGCGCATTTTCAATGCAAAGCCCATAGAAGCCATTTCCCAGAATGAGAACTCTGGGAAAGGGAGTAAGCTGAAGAAGGATGAAGAGATGCCTGATCGTGACCCCATCGATTCTAATACGAAAAAGGAGAAAAGGAAACGGTCAAAGCAACAAGTGCAAAGCCCTGAAGAACCTGCTGCCAAAGACATTCCTCCAGCTGCCACCATTGATGCCCCAGTTAAATCCGCATTGTCGGATAGTAAGAAAAAGAAAAAGGAGAAGGTAGTCACGGAGCAGGACAAGAGCAGCAAAACGAAAATCAAGGATTATAAAGCTTCTTTCGATGATACCGAATTAAAGGCCAAGAAGGAATCCAAGAAGAAGAAATCTGCCAACAAAGAAGATAAGGATGCGGGAGGAATCAATGACACGGAGGTGTCGTTTGCAGAGTTGATGTTTTCTGGAGACGGCGCCGTCCCAGAGCCCACGGCGAAGGACAAGGCCCAGGCAACTGCTGTGGATGGGAAATTTGTCGGGGGCCTGGTGATTGATCACTCCAAGAAGAGGAAGAAGGCGAAGGGCACCCCTATCGACGCGTCGGATCTTAAGCAGTTGTGCTCTGCGCCCGAGGTGGGTGCGGGTGGACTGTCGGGATGGGATTAGTGGTGCCTGGTGGGCTTTGAGAGACGATGTGTATGCCCAGTGAGTAGTGTTAGTAAACTCCTGTTCTAGGATCTCTGTTGCGATGAGAGCCTTTGTAGGCAGCATCTGAATTTCTTTCGACAGTTCTTTTGCACCTGAAATATGTGACCTGACTTTAAAATGTTTGTTCGAATTTTGTGAAACTTGAGACGATGATAACTGGATTCCATGGTTGACCGCTCATAATTTTATGAAACTTGATATGATGAAAAATATCGCTAGTTATAGAATTTTGTCGACAGAGTTCTTATTTTAGTTGTTTACAGAGATTAGCGAGAAATTTGACAGCGTTGCTCAGCATTAATATATACAGAGATTAACTGGAGTAGTTAGCAAGGCTGCAAACTACAGTGACAGCGTTGCTCAGAAACAAAATTAGGAAACACAGAGATTATCGTGCTGACAAATTCTCGCAATTCTAACCAGTAACCATTATTCTTATTTGAGGCCATAAAAGTCACCATTGATATATATTATCATCATGAAACTCAGCACACGTACTGAAAATTTTACATGGCAACGAGACCATATAGATTGGCAGGGCAAAATTTCCATACAAGCTTCAAGAAAATTGTTTTCCTGTCTACCCAAGACATTTCATCAGCATGCGCTGTTTGAACTACGCCAATACAAAACTAACCTCGTTCACGCACGAGTAAAACAAAGAAAAATTCCGAGCACAACGCCAAGTATTAGGGAGAACTGGAAGAGAGCTCTGTGTCTTCGTCTTCACCAGGGATCATGGTGTTAGGGTGCTATCGGAACCGTTGGAGCAGCATGCTAATAAATTCATACGGCGGAACTTTATTGACTGCGGAAGAAGCAAGGCAAAGGAATTCACATTAATTCATAAGCTGTGTACAAATTTTAAATAATCAGCTGCATTTGAAACCTAGGGGGAAATCAAGGAGCATACCATCTCCATAGCTAGCCATTGTAGGTTGGGAAGATAACATCATCTTAGCAAACGCTGTAACGTCATCTAGGGTCAGTTCCTCCATGCACTGAAGAAAATGATCAATGGGTTTCCTGTTGTGATGCAAACAAACAGAAAAAAAACAGGATCGATGAGTTTCTTCTATGAGACAGGCTTGTGAAATATGGTTCGAACCGATGAAGATATGGACTTACCTGCTACCATAAGTCAAAAGCTGCCTCCCTATATCTTCTGCAACAATTACCTGCAGTGCAAAGTTAACAGATGGATATCAAATCCTTTTAAATATACGTGATAACTGACAAGAAATAAAGAATGGTGTGTGGCTCCAAACATACCCTCGATTCAAGATTCATTAGCACGGATGAAATCGTCGAGTTTTTCGCACGTGTCAGCTCAACCTCCGTCACTAAATGCATGCAAAACCAAATCATATTTTTTTAGAACATGCAGCTTCAGTGAAACCTCAGACAGATTTACCGAATAGGGAATGACTCATACCTTGTCCAGGCGTTGCAATAGCGATCAATTCCTGCACCGCGATAACAACAGCCTTTGAAACAAAATCTGGTGGCTGTAGTGTTAAAAATGGACAAGAAATCATATTAAATTTAATAGAAAACGAAAATCCAAGGCCGGTGCCATTACAATATTATAAAATTCAAATAACTATGTTTCATGCTAGAGTTAACTGTTATAAAATGACACACATATTGGTAGCATAGTTTTGCTATGAGAAATCAAAAACAAGTAGACTTTGTAACAGTTAACTCTAGCATATATATATTCACATTTGAGTTTTTTCTTAATTCTATTGCTTGTTTTGCCATCATCACCAGCAGAAAGTCAGTATTTGTAGTAAAGGTCCTGATGCACAACATGCAAAAGCAATAATTAAGCCCACAAAATGACGTTGAAGGATAAACTCACCGTTGTCAAATAGATGCCAAACAGGCCAGTGTTATCATATACATTACTGAATGCTGAAAATGATTGGACGCCGTGATATTTAGTTAGAACTCTCAGGTCTGCAAAGAAACAACAGTGAACTTAGCCTTTTCCTCAAAGCATTCACCCCCTTTGAAACAAGAAATAATTAGACAGCCAGCAGAACTATTCTGAAATGTAAAAAACAGTAACTGAAACAACCACATAGAGTTAGTTTACACCATGGCAACCATACTAGAGATGAACAATTGCAGTGTGTTCGTGACTTACAAAGCCGTGAATGCATCCCTTTTCCAGGACCACCAGAGGAGAATGAGCCGCCACCACCCATTAAGGTCTTCAAAATATTATTGTTGTTGCGCATGAACATTCAGGAATTAACAATTAGAATGTGAAGATGCGGATGTCAAACTAGACTAGATCATTACTATCAAATACCAACCCTTTGCTATACCTGTATGACGGTCATAATTGTAGCCTCTCTCTCTTTAAGCCAGCCGCCTGGCACTTCAAAAGCCAACGCGACATGTGTCATCTGCAGGCAAAGAGATGAGTAAAATTTCAAGGTAGAACATAAGGAAGTCTCAAAACTCAAAATGGAATACTCGATTAGAAAGAATATTACATCTGATTCTGCTTTGTATCTGAAATCACCACCTGTGTACGTAGACTTTGGTGTTTCCATAGGGGACCCCTTGTGCCAATCAGACAACAAAGGTTCTGCGACATCTAACAACTGTTGATGATCAACACCTGACGCTGCTAGAACCACACGATCAGCAGTGAAGTTTTCCTGTTATAGAAATAGCAATGCTTCATGTTTTTTGAATAAAACATATTCATTGCATTGTAGAGAATATCAAAACAACCATACGGTGAGAACAGCATAGCCGAAACTGTTGCTCCTACAAACAATCATGATCCATGGATTGAAAATAAAGTTGTAAGACTAGAACAACCCTGATAACAAAATCTCTCATAGTTGCTGGCACTGGATCAGCCGCATACAAATCAATTCTAGTATATTAATTATGCGGTTAAATAGAACTACTTCTATATTTGGGCGCTGCCAACAGAATAAATTGTTAATATCTAGAATTTGCCGCAACTACATCCACAGAAAACTGAAAGTATAGGGAGCAAAACGACCAAAGTGTGCAAGGATGTTCCACAGTGACCAGCGTGCTAATATCATGTAATGCTTTTGAGAAAATGGCCATCCTACCAAAAGTAAGTAAATACGAGCCGCCAAGCAGCAAGCCATGTTCAGGAGGAATGCAGAACTCAAATGTCAGAAGCAGTACATGATAGAACTTCCGAATAATATCGGCATTGATGATCTCAAGAGCCTCCTCGGGAGCTATCAGCGGGTTCGCGAGCGCCCCCTCGTATCCAGCAAGGTTAAGTACTTCCTGAAGGAACTTCTCCGGGTTCTTCTGCACCCCGTGGACCTCTTCTCGGGTAAGGGCCAGCTGACAAGAAACACAGCAATCACCATAATCAGCGCACAACAAGCAAGATATACCCAACCATAAGCTGCTTGATGCATCATCCATGATGTTCCGCACCTGCCTGTCAACTTCGTCCTGGACGAAGAGCGGGTTGCGGACGGAGTCGAGGAGCACCTCGACGGCCTGCGGAATGTAGGCCTTGAGCGTGTCGTAGCTGTAGACCATCTGCTCCCTGGAGGCGGAGGCGCCGATGTTGCCCCCCGTGGCCTCCACCTCCTGCACGATCTGCCGGTGGCTCCGGTGCGCCGTGTCCTTGAACGCCAGCTTCTCCAGCAGGTGCGTGACGCCGGCGGACTCGGGCGACTCGTGGATCGAGCCCGACGCCACGAACACCCCCACGCACGCCGTGGGACCCTGACAAACCACCCCCCACGGAGGCGTCAGCGGAGAGCGACGACGCAGCAGCAGCAGCAGAGGACGCTATGAACTCATCAGAAGGAGGGAAGGGGGCTGGTACCGGGACGTCCTCGGAGGCGACGCGGACGCCGTTGGGGAGCGTGGTGACGCGGGTGGGGAGGCGGGGGAGCTGGTCGGGGAGGCAGGGCGGGAGGTCGAGCCCCGGCAGCGGGTGCAGGAGCGAGGTCGAGCGCGCGGCGGAGGCTGCGCCGGAGAGCCGCCGCGTCATCGTCGGCAGCGGCGGCACTCTTGGGACCTCGCCGCGCCCCAGCGGCCGGGACGCCTCGCACAGCTGCAATTAACGCAATCCATCCCGGCGACCGTGAGGCAGGCAGCAGGGCGACTAAATACAAGCAGGCGAGAGAGGCGGGCGAGTGGCGGGCTCACCTTGCGGAGCAGGCGGGCGGAGGAGCGGAGCCGGAGCATCGCGGCGGCGGGGCCGGTGGTGCTGGTGGAGGGAGCCGCCGGCGAGGAGGAGGGGGGAGAAGCTGCCGTGGAGGAGGGGAAGGGGAAGGGGAAAGGAATAGTTCGGCTCGGTCTGCTGGGCCGCAGGTAGGGTTTTTTTGGTGCCCGAACCGGGCCGTCGTCCACTGGAGGCCCGGCAGAATGAGCCCAAGAGGAGTTCTCGGCCCTTCCTCTTCGTCTAGTTTTTTCCTTTTTTTTTTCTGCCTTATCCTCGGAGAGCAGGAAAAGGCCACGGCCACGAGCCGCTGCTGCTGCTTCCCTCTCTCCTCTGTTTTTCTCTCTGGCTCTCATGGAGGCCTCCGTGCTCAAGCCGTCGGTGCTGCTCCCTCCGGCGAGGGGAGCGCCCTCCACGGCGCGGGGGCGGGAGCGGGGCTGCGTCGTCGCCGGCGCCGGCAGCAAGGTCGGACGGTTGGTTCTTGGTTGCTTACTGTCCATGGAGAACGAGCGCCATCCATCTCTCTCACGCTGCTTCTTTTTCATTTCATGTCCAATCGAGCAGAGACTCGAGACACGGCGGCCGGAAGGGAGCAGCAGCGACGGCGCGCCCAGGAGCGAGCCGGCCAGAGGATTCCACGGGCACGTCCTATCCCTGACGGCAACGGCAGCGGCGGCCATGAGCAGCAGCGCCGCCGCCATGCCGTGCCACGCCGCGACCGCCCCGGCGGCGCACGGGCCACCGCTCTCCTACTACTACAGGGCGGCGATGGTGGTGGGGGAACTGGACCCGGCGACGGCGAAGGTGGTGATCGGGGTGGCGGGGCCGGCGCTGTCGGCGGTGGGGTTCCTGTTCGTGGCGCGGATCGTCATGTCGTGGTACCCGAGGCTGCCGGTCACCAAGTTCCCCTACGTGGTGGCGTACGCGCCCACGGAGCCCATCCTGGCCGCCACCCGCCGGGTGATCCCGCCGCTGGGCGGCGTCGACGTGACGCCGGTGGTCTGGTTCGGCCTCGTCAGCTTCCTCAGCGAGATCCTCGTCGGGCCCCAGGGCCTCCTCGTCCTCCTCTCCCAGCAGCAAGTCTCCCCCTCCCCATAGTAGCCTCCTCTTCAGCTTACCCCAAAATACCTTCTTCTTTCTTTCCTCCATCTAATATATGAGCGAGCTTATAATCATGGGCGCGGATGAGTTTTCGACATTCGAAATTTTGCCAAAATTTGTCAAAAACAGTTCAGTTCCCGACCCCGAAAACATACAAGTCCGAGTCTAGGACAAAACTTGCATATTCATACTCAACTGTAATGAACTCGGTACAAAATCGACGCAGCAAGTGCCCCCAAACAGAAGAGAGATCCGGAACCAGCAGGCGACTCGGTCGACGCAGAACTAAATGCAAGACAAAGGGCAGCATCAGGGAGATGAATTTTGAACTAGTTGATATTTACAAAGGGCACGCTTCGCGCCACCCAGTGTTTATACAAATAATTTGCTACATGTCGCCGCCGGTCGATTCCGGCGGCAAATCTGATCTCTGTGTATTCTGTATGAGAACATGATTATATATATATATATACCATGTTATCCTGTTTGGAAAGAATAGGAATTTCCCTTCTACAACCCCTGTATATTGTTCTGCTCTATCTCCAATAATAGGCTGCTGCTTCTATTTCAGGCAGCAAGGTGACTATTTGTACTGTATGTAAGTCAGTATACAGCTGAGAGTAACTAAAGCCCATCAAAAATTAAGGCGACGGCAACGGCTAGTGGTTGATTGCGCACAGCTCCCACTTCCCTTCGCCGTCGATGAGCTTCAGTTCCAACGAATGGAAGGGTATCAGAGCTGGCCTCTGTAAAACAAATAGGCGAGAGACGTCAGCATCACAGAGTTTCACACTCGGAAAGACGCAACCACGAGGGGTTGCGTTAACTTCCAGAGGCTCGAGGGGATAAATTGATGAATAAAGTACTTACTTGGGAGGAAGTGACCACAGTTATACCCATGTCAGTTGCTAGCCTGTACAAATGCTCCTCGACGTCGACACTTGTGGCACTGCGGTGAGTATACAAAATTTTTAAGTACAATGACTGATAAACGAAAGGGAAATGGGAGTACAAAATATATTGCCATTCAACACGTACTTGGTGCACTCGTCGAGGATACCAAACTTAGGAGAGTGAAAGAACAGACGGGCCTGGAAAGAAAGCAGTCATTCTCAGTTACTACACAGTTTTGTTCGCAAAAAGGTATAGAGATAGATTAAAACAAACTGCGAGTATTAACCACTGACCATGCCTAGCCTCTGCTGTTCTCCCAAGGACAAAATGTCTTCCCAGTTGGGAGTAGCATCCCAACCTTCTCTTTCGAGAAGATAGACCAAGCGAACATTCTCCAGAATTGTCCTCAGGTGATCGTCCAGCGACGTAGACCTGTCACCTACATGGCCAAGGTTTATGGTGTCATGTCACTACAAATTAATATGAACCTTGCTCATGACAATACAGGGGAAGTTCAACACATAATAAAAGTTTGTTACAAACACCATTAACTAGCACAAGCCACTTCAGATTTTAGTAGAGGAGATTTTATAAACGTGTGTTTCGCAGGTTAGAATACAGAGGCTGAATTCGACAGCTAGATGCTTGCCTTTGCAGAGTTAGGTAGAACTTACCCGTTTTGGCCATCTTCAACTCTGCCTCCTCACGTGAGAGAGGATATATGATCTGATCCCTCAAGGTTCCAAGGCAAGTATATGGGCGCTGAGGAACGTGAAATATCCCTTCAGATGGCACGGTGAGCCTTCCAGAAGCTACAGGCCACAAACTTTGGAGCACCCTAAAAATGGAACTCTTGCCACTGCCGTTTGGACCTTCAGAAGACATAATCACATGTATTAGAGAAACAATGTTGACATGGTGCTAAATAAAGCCAAGCAGAAGCGGTCAGATGACATACCAGTGACAAGAAGGCTTTTTCCTTGAGACACATCACAAGACAATTGGCTAGCCAATAGCTTTTGCGATGGGGTCACAATATCCACATTACGGAAGGAAATAGTTTCTTCAGATGGCACACTGATAACATTTGAGGGCATGACAGCATCTAGAAAAACAATGGCGTCATATTCAGGTACAATTCATAGCATACAAGATGCCAAAAGGCTAAAACCTTTTAACTTCGATAACGTCATCAACTGAGTATGAACATAACAATTCAGCAGCTTATAAGTTTGATGAACTAATTTCAGTTGTGGTCAAGGTGGTCAACAATATCATATGATTACTACCAAGGTTTCTACAATCAGTAATGGTGGTACCTCTTAACCAGTTATGGACAGTTAACTATTTTACAGAACAGCAGATGTTGCACTAAAGAATATTGAGTAGCCAAATGCCCAGATTTGCCAACTAAAGCTGACAGTTTTTCGCAGTGTCTAGAGAAATTCCAGTACACACAGTGATTTTCAATTTTTCCTCCACTCAAGAATTTGTTGTATCAAAAATTACAGTGATGACATTACATATTTGGACAAAGTTGCAAAAATAAGAAGGTTGACTATTATGATACTAGACTGAACATGCTCACATGAAATTTTATCATATGGGCGGTTAGTGTTCATAATTTCAGTTCAAGAGCTTGTAGCAGGTTGCACAATGGTTGACAAAAATAGGAGTTATGCTGCTGATATGCAATATCATCTTATATTCAAATGACATAGATTTCTGACTCAAGCATATGAGGCACTCGAGTTTGCTGCGGACTCAAACTTACTGCTTTGAGATGCCTTTAGAAGCTCCTCGAGTTCAAATATCCTATTGACACCACCAGAAAGTTCAAGGAATTTCTTATGCAACTCGAGAATGTCACCAAAAGCTATGAAACTTTGTGACACTACAGATGCCAGGAACCGCAGGGCATGTGCTAACTCTCCTGAAATTTCAAAATGAGAACATATTGTAAAACTGTATGCAAAATAATATCGATAAAATGGGTCGGTTTCAAGATTTACCAACCTTGCGTTGAAGTCAAAGCTCGGTCCCCCTTGTGTTCCAAAGCATATAACAGGCTTAATCCCCATGTCACATTGTGAGGCAGCTGCTTTGTCACGAAATCGTCGAAAATACCATAAAGCCATCTTTTCCTCAAAAGAATCTTCGAGTGGTTAAGCAAAGTTGCGAACTTAGCTTCAACCATCTGATTTATAAGAAAATAATGACAATGTAAGGCCATATAATTTTACAAACAGATCATATGCCAGATGTGCAGATGAAGCTACATGACCTGTGTTTTCATCTCTTTTTTTTCAATTATTTAGCATTTCGATTGAAATTCAGAATAAGGATTACAGTGTAGCACAATAAATAGAAAATTTAACATGATATTCACAAGAATCAGAATACATAAAATGCATCTTGAGGAGCCCCTTCAAGTGGTAGGAATAACTCACAGCTCTTTCCCTTGATCCACCACCAAAGAAAGCAATTGACTCAGCATGTGTCCGCAGTCTTGAGTGCATGAACCTTGAACAACAAATGTTAGAAGGTCAATACTGGAAGTTCATCATGCTATAAGAAAACCAAATACACAAATACCCAACAAACTATATCACTAACCTGAAAGAACTTTCAAGTTCTTGTTCTTGGTTTGAAAGATCACCGAAATCAGGGGAAACGGCTCTTAGAAAACCAAGCCCTAGCAACATGTATGCGTACAAAATAGCAACTCCTCTTCTCCCAGATAAAAGTTTCATTCTCCATGTAAACCTGGAGAATAGCAGTAGCTTATGAAAGCCTGATTAACCAAAGAACACCTGAGCAACACATGAGGCCACAAAAAACTCACCAAAGAATGTCAACTGATGGTTTCACCATTCCAGTTACTAAGCCAGCAAGATCATTGGTCAACTTCTCCACATCACGTGTTATTCTTTGGTCTGCATCAATCTCCATGCCTGTCATGTTGAATACCTGGAAAAGAAAGGTCAAACTGCTCAGCTTTTATGCAAACAGAAATATTGTCATGACAGAACAATGCTAGCAACGGTTAAAAGGGGAAAATACTGCTGCAAAATGGAACCGAATGACTTGCAAATTACACATCTGTTAAGGCAATTTACCTTGTAAAAAGCATTTCTTTTCAAATAATACGCAAGTAGATGGTTGGTCATGCGAATTCGCCATCCAAGAGCAATCTTTGAAGTAAGGTGTCTGTAAAGAAAACACTTGATCAGGTCATGGAACCAATTATGAACAATCAACTGCCACTCTGAAAATAGTTAAATGCACACAACCATGAAATAGTACTTTCATTCTTGTGGCGAAGACCACATGAGGTAACATACAGTAATGCTCAGATAAAACAATTGAATAGATAGTAAATATTTATAAAAAAATGTGTGGGTGCTTCGCTAAATGAAAATGCCGTGACAAGCAGCCAAGCACTGCATCAAATCTCCCTGAGAACCAACTTCAAAATAGCAGAACCAAAAGTCCAAACCTACCTCAGTGATGGTGCCACAATTGAATTTGCTGCACTTTGCATTACACTGGTCCCGATCAGTCGAATGAAGGCAGCCTTGTCCTGCTCCAGGACATACTTAACACTAGTCCCTGTCAAGACGTGCAACATGTTACAAAAATGGTACACCAGCCAGCTCCAGTTCTTGTTGTAAAGGAAAGCACACAAGGAGCCAACCATTCAGTGAAGCTATACGATCAGATATCCAAGTCCGAGAAAGTACGAGTACTGCAACTGCAAGCAATTGCGCTCCTTGCTTATCAATGATTTTAGGAACCTGGCAAGCATTCAAGAATATCATTAGAATTAACTATCTAATAAAAAACATTAATCGACTAGGAAATTTAAATGTGTACCAGTATTTTAGACATTGCAGCAACTCTAACAGGCAAAGGTCTCGGCGAGCACTGCAATTGTGGGATCAGATGTGGCTGTTCTGTGGATTCTATTTCCATATTGGGTGAAGTAGCTATGACCTGTGTTGAATAAGAATGTTCCTTGGGGCCCGATAACGTATTTTCCTGGTAATGAAATGTGTTAAAGAGTGACACAACGAAGACCAACAGTAGCAGAACAGACTATG